TTTCTTCCATAAAATCTTAATAAATGTCATTTTAAAATTGTATTTTTCTCAATAATTATAGAAAATAATTATGTGGATTGAATTCCATCTTTTATGTGCCCATTAGCTGCTTCTTCTAGATGCTTTTCATTCTTGTTAATTTTCTTTTCTGCCTAAATTTCAACCATATTCTCTTTCATATTTTACTTTAAGTCAATATTGTCCATACTTGTTCTATCATTTTTAAAATTCTCCAATCTCCTACTTTGATTTTCCTTTCCCATGAAGAAACTGTTCCCAAACCTGAATACTTTGTTCTGGACTCATTTAAAAAACATCAGGCCACTTCTAATCCACCAGTAACAGTAAGATGCCTCAGGGGCACAAGGGTAACCAAGAAGAATCCTGTTCTTGAGAAAATAAAAACAAAATTTTAATATATCAAAACTCAGTCATTAAATCAAGCAAAATGGGAGCACTGTCATAATAAAAGCAAATAGAAAATGCAATTTGACAATGATGGAAGGTGTCTACTCAGAAGAGAGGTGTCAAGATTTTCACAGAAAATCTGTGGAATCTCATGTTGTATAGGAACACTGTGATGCCAAAGGGGAATGGGAAACAAGACTCCTCGGATCAAGCTTTGCATAATGATGACAGGTTCACAGCTATAGTAATGGTGTAGAGCAAAGCTCAGGAAGGCTAGAGTCCCCATGGTGCTTATTTGTGCTCTTCTCCCATCTCACAGCCAACCCTCTCTGACAGCTGCCTCCATGAACTGTTGTTTCCAGGACATATTTACCATCTTGGTGTCTATCTGAACTCAGCCATGAGTGGATAAGGCAGAAGATGGGAGTATAAATGGAGAAAGTGAAGGTGTAGTTGGTTGTTTTCATTTATAATTCTGAAAAAGCATTTTAGAAGAATCTGTGCTATCCCATGACTGTAGTATTCTCCCAGATGATGTGTATCCATGTATTCATCTCCCATTGAGCTCCAATATTTCTCCTCATCCTTATCTCTTTGGCCCACAGTTTCTACTACAGTGGCCTATAAACCCTTTGTTCAAACTCTAACTGTTCATTTTTAGTTGTATCGCCAACAAACAAACTACATTTAGACACCTGAGTTGTTTGTTCTTGCTAAGCACCCTTGCTAATGTTGAAGGAAAAAGTTTCCTCATGGATCATTCTTAAAATCTCAAATTATTATTATTATTATTATTACTTTGGTTTTTTGAAACAGGGTTTCTCTGTGTAGCTTTGAGCCTTTCCTGATACTCACTTGGTAGCCCAGGCTGGCCTTGAACTTACAGAGATCCACCTGGCTCTGCCGCCCGAGTGCTGGGATTAAAGGCCTGCGCCACCATCCCCCGGCCTCAAATTACTTAAAAAGTCCACAGAATCAACTAACCTGGGCTTATAGGGGCTCACAGAAACTAAACGGAGAAGCGGAGGACAAACTGTAATGATATAATGATGCATATGTATGAGTTTCATGATGAAACCCAACACTTTAATGATAACTTTAAAACTAATTATGAAAGAAATTTAAAGCCAGGAATGGTGATGTGTTTCTAAATTAAGAAAATCAATGTCCTTAACAGATATTTAATTCTGTCTAGTATTTACAAATGCACTTGGTTCGAATATATGCATGGTGACCAAATTATCATGGTTTGACTTAAGATGGTTCAGCTTTATGTAAATATAAAAAAATGAAAAATAAAATAAACCAGTACATAAAAACTGTGCCTTAAATGTGGAATCATATTGTTCCTCAGCTAATGACATGGCTCTCTCTGGACTGGGAGCCTCGTGTCTGCCTGACCACTCCTGTGACTAGCAGCAGGGACGTGAAGTCTGCTCACTAGGTTAGGTGCAGAAAATGAATTTTCCACTTTTAATACTTCCCCCATCATAAGACAAAGGGTATCTATAATTTGATTAGAATCCTGTTTACAATATAGGAGACAGGTCTCAGGTTCCAACATTTCATAATGAAATGGCAATTGCACTCTTTACTAGGAGGCCTAATTTTTAATTTTAGTAATTTTTTTTTAGAAAAACACTAACATTTGTTACATTCAGTAAAATTGTAGATGAGCCATCTGTAAAATGTTGCTTGCTTCTGTACTGTTCAAAGTTTAGCTCTGAATGAGTATTGTCAAAAAAAATCCACCTCAAAAATAATAACATGAGCCACTTAGCTTCCTTCTAAAAGGTGATAAGCAGCCTTGTACTCCCGTTTCCAAGAAATTAACAGGGTGACTGCTGTGAGAATTATTCTGATGACTCATTTTCCTCTTGATAGCTATATAATTCCTGGTGGCTGTGATTGGATTTGCAGCATTATGTATGTGGAGAAGCAAATATACTTACCTGAGTACAGAAATTTGGCAGTTTCGAATTTCTGTACCTTATACCAAAGTTCACTTATAGATAAATTTTCATTCAGCAGATCTATCAACCTACAATTAAACTTTCATTCAGCAGATCTATCAACCTACAACTTTCTAAAAGCCACCTTGACATTCAGAGGGAAAAATGTTGGAACAGAAATTGAGTAAAATATAAGAGTAGATGAATAAGTCTGACTATAACAGACTATGAATTCTTTGAGGATGTTATGTAAATGATGCTTAAAAATAAGGTGGTGGCACACGCCTTTAATCCCAGCACTCAGGAGGCAGAGCCAGGCGGATCTCTGTGAGTTCGAGGCCAGCCTGG